AAAAAAAAACTAAATTGACAGAAAAAAAAATCATGGCTATTCTTTATTAAAATGAAAGGATACAAAGTGAAATAATCAGCAAAGGGAAAAGCCTGCTGTACGAAGTGTGGAAGAAACCAGGTACAAACTTTCCAGAGTCCTCTCCTGATGGAATCACAAAGATGGGCTTAATTCCTTCAGCAACTAGTTGTGACGACACATGTGAAGTGATGTCTACCAGGAAGCTCATTAGAGACTCAGTACTTAAGGTTTCTATTGGTTTGCTGATCACAAAGACATTCTCCATCCAGCGGGCACCAAAATTCTAGACTCCCAGAAGGAAAGCAGGTGTTCAGCATAAACCACGTTGTTTGTAAGACAGTGTAGGCATAGTGAGCCACTCTTACCCGTTAGGGAATGGTGGGAACATTTCTGAAATCCAAGTTCCCAGATGCCAGCCAAGAGCCAGCCTTGCAAGCAGGCCTAAGGATGGCAGTCCTAGTTTTGCTATGTTAACTGTTTTCTGCACAGTAGTTAAAAACACAAGTTTTATAATCAGATAACTCTGGGCTCATATCTACATCCTAGCACATATATTGATGTTGACCTTGAACAAGTTAACCAAACACTTTGCAGGTCTCAGTTTTATCAACTGTTAATAGCTTTAATTAGGCAATTAGTTAATTAGGCCATGAAAATCATATGCAATAATGCATGTAGAATTCTCTGCATGATTCCTACAAAGAGTAATAACTCGATAAATGTTGATGTTGATGAATAATAATAGTATATGTGGCAGTTACCTTCATGGAGCTTATAACAGATTATATGAACAAGTCTCACACAAATAAAATAGACAGCAAGTGTTTCATTTTGTTCATGTATGTGTTACTAACTGTAAGTGCAACAGGAGTTCTAAGAATGTAATTTATAAGAATCCACAAATTCTTATGAATGAGTATTCTTTTGCTAAGTGTTATGGTGCCTCAACCATAAAAGACAGAAGTAGCTGACAGAAATAGCTTTCAGAAGACAAAAAAGTAGCTGAAAAATAGGGACAATATTTTGATCCTTACATTGCTTTCTGATGAAGCCGTCCTTTACAACTTCATAGCTAGCATGAAAGTGGCCATTGTATATGACACTAAAGATTCTGAGATAGATTGGAAAGCTGCATCAGGAGAAATTAGTGGCTAGATCAGTGTGATTTAGACACAGTCTGATACTTTTGTGTATGTTTTTGGAAACAAGACATTATTATTCTTGCACACTGTTCTTTTAACTGCTTGACAAACAAATAGAACAAAGCATTTTGATGAGCAGTACTTTTGCTCTACCAAGATATGGGCTCAGATGTAACTCTCAGCAGGTGTAAGATTTTCTTTTATTTTTTTTTAGTAAATTTATTCATTTTATTTATTTATTTTTGGCTGCATTGGGTCCTTCTTGCTGTGTGTGGGCTTTTCCCTAGTTGCGATGAGCAGGGGCTACTCTTCGTTGCGGTGCATAGACTTCTCATTGCAGTGGCTTCTCTTGTTGTGAAGCACGGGCTCTAGGCATGTGGGCTTCAGCAGTTGTGGCATGCAGGCTCAGTAGTTGGGGCTCGCAGGCACTAGAGCGCAGGCTCAGTAGTTGTGGTGCATGGGCTTAGTTGCTCCGTAGCATGTGGGATCTTCCCGGACCAGGGCTCAAACCCGTTTCCCACGCATTGACTAGCGGATTCTTAACCACTGGAGCCACCAGGGAAGTCCCAGATTTTCTTTTTTGACATAACTAGTGATTAAGTACCATGATTACTGGAGAAACACATGCTGAGTAAAAACTTCCGTAATGATTGAATTAATAAATAAATGAATGAATGAGTTCAGAATATAATTAGGCCTAAGATTCCTCAACAAGGGACACTTGTGAGGCTAGTGCATGTTTAACAAAAATCATGTGTGATCAGAATTTATTTCCTTGAAACTTCATTTTTCTTGTTAATACAATAAACCGAGTTGCTTTTAAGGTCGGAGAGAGATGTCAGATGGTGTTGTGTTTTACATCTAATGTTAGATGTCTCCTCAGGCTAATATTAAGCATTTAGAGATTCTTTACAAAATTAGCTTATTTTATTCTGTATCATACTTTTAATTTTGCCTCCACAACTATTACAAAGTAGAAATAACTTATGACATTTTATAAGCATTTAATATTAAGGGGTATGGAGTGTTGATTATTTCTAAATAAATCACTTATGAAGTATATCTTTTTTGTGCTAGAAAAAGATTACACATAATTATGTAAACATATCCCTTACAGGATATCATTTAACTAAGATATATAATTTAAAATAAAGTTACTTGTTAAAATTAGAACTCTCATTGCATCTTGACTGATACCACTGTAGAATTTATCAAAGCTTGCTCAGAAAAAGTGCCAACACCTCTAAATGTTTTCTTTAGTGGCTACTCTTAATCAGTCACAGTAATGGGACATAGCTTTAACACGGTTATCCCAATCTACAGCTATAATTATTTCCCATACATTGCAAATGAGGTTGTGATTCATAGACTATTTTCAAATTTAAATTTACACTATTTAGGCAAACACATTTATAAAATATAGTAATCAGTCAGCCCGTTAGTTATCCAGGCATTACGTAGAAAATGGAATATGTAATACCAGTGATACTGGGAAGAAATTGTTGTTATTAGTCCAAGTATTGATAAATGCATTTGAATTCATTCTGATAATCTAGTATTTATCAAAGGATCCGTCACAGTTCTTAAAATAACTTGATTATTTTTTCTCTGGAAAATAATGCATTGAGGATTATAGTTGTGCTTTTATTATTTTATCCTTGGAGTCTGTCAACTGGCTTTATACCAGGAGCTCAAGAAATACTGCATTGAACTGATCTGGGTTGAATTGAATTGAACTGAATTGGTTAAGTAATTTTAAGACAAGGAATTGACACCTAAATTCAGTAATTAATCAAGCTAATCAATTGATTCTGACTCTCCCGCTCTCAGAAAGGCGATTTGAATTTAACTTCATGCTTTTAATTAAAATGTTCATTTCCTAAACCAATGTATGTTATAATAAATAACTATTTTATATATAATAATATATATTATGTATATATATAATTTCTTCAGATGAGTTTTACCATATTAGGGACAGAATTCTATTCTTTTCACATCACCTTGTACAAGTTTCACTGATTTTTTCTGCTGTTCTTATAGAGCTGTCTTATATATGGCCCTTTTTAGGTTTATTTTGTTTGGTATTAAATGCAAAAAGTGGTATTTTGTTTTTGAGTTATTTTTCTAAAATTATGTGTTATTATCAATATCCTTTCAAAAGATATTGTGGAGTAATATTAAAGACTATTTGGCCACGAGTATTTATATTTATAGGTAAAGAATAAAAATATTAAGTATAGTTGTGTGAAAGAATAGGGTTGTATTGACAATTGAATCTCAATGTGTTTTAAATACCATCCATGTTGAAGCTCTCAAATGTAATGCAAATTTTTAAGTTTTAATATTAACTAAAAATTATTTAATTTTTTCTAGGCTAAAAATTGGACTGAGAATTCTGACCTAATGTAAATTTTTTCCTCAAAGCAGTGCCCCTAGTTTCAGATGAAATATAATTTTAAGTTAAGAAGGAAATGTCAAAGCAAACAATTTACATTCGGACAGGTCTTATGAAGTGGTATGGACTTTCAAAGAATCTAAGATAGCGTCAATTGTTAAGTTGCACCACTATTTTATGAAGTACCACTAAAGAAAAAGATGCTGCACGTTAAAATAAGACACACCAACTCTTTCTTAATGTTTAGATTCTTATTTTATAATTACCAAAGGAGCTTTTTTAGACATAGATTATTTTAATCATTTTAATCACTCCTGAATATTTATATGCGCACACACACACATATATCAGAAAATGTACGTAAAATACATTGCATAAGGCATTCCTAAAATTTCATCCTGTTTAGTATCTAGCTCTTCTAAATTACTTTTTGAGTCAGAGTGCTCGATGTTCATGTTTCCCACATTAAGATTTTTCCCTTTGCTGGTGAGGCAGCCTGTCTTAATAGAGAGAGCCACCATTTTCTCTGGCAGTTCTATCTAAACTGCTGCACCCATTCTGTAAATTTTGATGGTGGTACTTTCTTAACCTTACCAGAATGTATCAACAGAAGCTTTTTCAAACAACAGTCAGGATTCATATTCATATTCCTTTTTCAAATGGTCCTTAAATGGTCTGATTGAAATATGAGGAATTTCCATTATCTAATCAAGCCACAGAAATAACAACTAAATTCAAGCATACCTAAGCCATGGTAGCAACATACTACCTATGACTGCCCCCTGATGGACAGGAATTGTTAAGAGACCATCAGTGTAAGACATCCTCATTTCTAATATAATGAGGTATGTAAACAGCTGGTGACTTAGAATAAAAAAAATATAGTATTAAAGAAAAGTCACAGTGGAGTATAATAAAAAAAATTCAGCTGCAATTAAGGACATATATGTGTGTGTACAAACATACATTATTCCAAAAAATAAAATTCTAACAGACAAGTCATTTATATAATCCCTAGATTTTTGTTAGATAAATTTACCTACATTTAGGTAGGTAATGTTAGGATATTAGGTAATGTTAGGATATTTAGGATATAATGTTAGGATATTAGGTCATGTTAGGATATTTAGGCAGTTTAGCTATGTCCTGTTAAAAAACTTCCATCAAAAGTTGAATAATTATGTTCCTAACAAACTCTATGTTAAACAATTCTAATTTATTATTTTATGTGCTTGTATATATATGGGTAAAGATAACCAGTCAAATTGATTGGAAAGTATTAAAAAGTTTTCATGATATTCCATGTGATCTAATATTTTTCTTTAATCATTAAAATGTGCTTTCTCAAATTTCAAAATTAACAAATGTTACGAATAATAAATAAATTAATAAATAATAACCCAGCAACTGAATATTTCTTAATGTCCTCTCTACCTCAGGTCCCATAAGTAGTGTTTTGGTGAATAAATACGGTAGCCGGCCAGTGGTGATGGTAGGAGGTTTGTTATGCTGTTTGGGGATGGTCACAGCCTCTTTTAGTACCAGCGTAGTAGAGCTTTACATCACCATGGGATTCATTTGTGGTAAGTGAAGTTTTGTTTTCATCTTATTTTCTTCTTAACAGTCCCCTGTTATTTACAAAGCTCTGTCAGAAGCATGAGCAATAGAACATTCTTATTGTTTTCTTTGAATTTCTTTTTTATATCAGATGCTATCTTTTTTTTTTTTTTTTTTTTTTTTTTTTTTTCGGGGGCCTCGCACGGCTGTGGCCTCTCCCGCTGCGGAGCACAGGCTCCAGACGCGCAGGCTCAGCGGCCGTGGCTCACG